ATATTTTATAAATCTATTTTTTAAATTTAATTTTAAGTTTTCTCTTTTCACATAATGTCTATAATTTGATCATAATAAACCAGCTTGATTAACACTTAAAACCCAATAATAATTATTTGATTGAATATGTATAAACTAATACAAAAAATGTTATTTGCTTATTACATACATAATAAATATTTTATAAATCTATTTTTTAAATTTAATTTTAAGTTTTCTCTTTTCACATAATGTCTATAATTTGATCATAATAAACCAGCTTGATTAACACTTAAAACGCAACTAAATTGAATTATTTTATACAACTCACTTTTAACCAATTTAATAATTACACGAAATATAAATTTCCACCGGCTGCATATGCCACAAGCCCCCTAAAAACCCACAATGTGGTCTACCTCAGCGACTAGTTTACATGTTGTGCAGCGCCTGTAATTAGATTGCTAAACGATGGCCATTCGTTGCAGATTGTGCCGATACAGGAGAAGAACTCGAGCGGCAACACGTCCCGTTCGATGGCAGCCATTTCGCTGGGCTTCATTGTTATGGTCACGCCGTGGACCATACAGGAGATTGTCACCGCCTGCACCGGCTCCAAGGCAAGTACATGCACACATGCATACCTACATGAGCATGCAAACGCAGCCCACGGGTCGCATACGTAATGTACTTAAGTGCTTACGCTACGACACAATCAGCCCCACCGCCAACACAATACATATTAATATTGAAAATGGGAATTCAGGGCTTAAGGGTATTTTGAAAATATGTGTAAGAGACTGAAGGAGACGTGGCAGCCTCTGTAAGGCATATATGCTCATGATCAGGGCGAGAAGTTGAGTCGTTATAGCCATTTCCATCCGTATGAAGGCAGAGATCTTGTGAACTATAAATGGTAGAGACTTTAAAATTAACACAAATGCTCCTGTATATCTTACGTAATAAGAGTTTATAATAGTTTTTCGATAACTCATCCCATTTCTATTATATCGAAAATAATCGATAGTTTTACTTTGTTTTTTAAGCGTAATTTAAATACTGTTTGAGCTGAAGATTTCATATTTAATGTGAAGATTTATTTAGTGAATGCAAATATTTTATAGCTTATAGATTATCGCTAACGTGCGTATGTATGCAAGCCTGGAGTTGCAGGTTCCAGGGCATCTCCTATTCGAGCAGTCTCGACTCGACTACTCTTGCTTGTTATTATTTGCTCTGTGTTTATCTCGTGGTTGTGCGACTCCCGCTGACTCTTCACTGTGCTTTCTTGCAGCTGCCACCGTTTCTGGACTTTGTCGTCACCTGGACATCGCTGAGCAACAGCCTGTGGAATCCCTTCATGTACTGGCTGCTGAATTCCGATTTTCGTCGCCTCAGCCGACAATTGATGCCAAACAAAGTAAGTTTTCTTTTTTCCCATTCCCTTACGGACTATAGTATTACGTGCATTGTTAAGCTTCTCGGACTCACACACACACACAGACACGGACAGAGTTCACTGTGCCTTTGTGAGGTTTCGACTTTTGAGCATTGTTTCCAGCTTTTTTTTTTTTTTTTTTGCCCTGGCTTGCAGCATAAAAAACAGACAGAGGAAAAAATAAAAAAATTAATACCATTGATTAAACTTGAAGCAGCTTAGGGATTTTTTTTTTTTTTAAGGGAAGTCTTAAATTTTCAGCAACAAAAAAATTACTATTTATTACAGTTATGTTTATATAATGAAAGTGAAAGAGTATATTAGTTATGGGAAGAAATTGTCTATACATGCTTATTAATAGCGTGGCAAATCAATGAATGGATCTGGCAGGTTTTATGTCATGAATGAGCATTCTGCAGTCAGTAAAGCCCAACTGCATCTTACTTGCTTTATTTTACATTTTGCTAAAATCTTTGCTCTTACTTCTGATCGACTGCACTCAGCTTACTAATATTTAGTGCAGCTTTAGTTGCCCTGTTTAGGTGCTTACTGACCCCCAGCATTAAGCAGAAGCTTCTGACATAGGTTTTTTTTTTTGGAGCAACATATTAAATGCAGCTAGTGGAGCTGCTTTGAACTTGTTAAGTCAAACACAAAAGCTGCGCATATATCGAGGGATTTGATGTATGTAGCTGTGTTGTCAGCATGCCAAAGCCAAAGCCGAATTACGCAAGCACCAAGGACCAAGGGTCATAAATCCAAAAGGTGCTAGCTAGCATACAAACATGCATACATACATACATATATACGTACAGGATACTCGCTCCGGCGTCCAAGTAAACAAACAAACAAACAGACAAACAAGCAGACAAACATACAGACAAGCAACAACTGTAATCGCAAACAGTGAAAAGTGATTTTGAATTATGAAAGAGCAAACCGTAAGCAGCGTTTACATGCCCCATGCCCCATGCCACGCCCTCTTCTCACTACCTCACTCGCTTTTATTGATAGAATGCGAACGGCACAAAATAAGGGCAGGCAAATTCGTTTTTGGTAAAGCGCAGTCAAGTTGCATGATTTACTTCCGAAAAACTCAAACACTGACTGAGGTCACTCCCAACGCAATTTATGAGCACTATTTATAGCCAGAGATGGGTGCGTGCTGAATATATGTTTAATGTGAATCGAAGAGAATGGGAAATGTGCAGATAGTTAAACTTATGTGAGCAATTTTTGAGAGTTCTTATATAATGGTACTGTTAATTACTGCTCAAAAAAACTTAGGAATATGCAAACGCTGTCAGTGCAGCAGATTTCAGAGTGGCGTAACTATTTACCGGTTCATGTCATGAAACTGTTCTAAATATCTTAAATGTATTTCTTGAGGTAAAAAAATGAGGAATGCATTCATAAATTATCATATATTATTTTATATTATTATATAGAAAAAAAACACATAGACANGTTCTGCTTTGTATATGGAAGGTAAATGAAGGTATGAAGTCTAGGAAACGCAGCTAAAGATTCTCTAGATTGTCCATTGGGGAATAATAAAGGGAATATAAATGAAGCTACTTAGATATGTTATAAAGAAGAAATAATTTATGCGGCCAATTAATACTTTCTATGCTCATTCTCGAACGTGAAATACGTGCTTTGTTTTTGGGCAATGTCCATTTTAATGTCCGTACAAAATGCTACTGAATCTACAGATCTAAAATTAGCAACATATCCGTATATACTCAAGACTTAGCCGACCTGTCCACTAGCAACGTTTGACCTGTAAAGGAGCATTCTGCAGTCAGTAGCACCCGACTGCAACATTCTGACTTACTTATGCAATATTTCATACGCTCGTATATGACCAAAGTTTTAGCCTTTGTAAGTTATGGCTCACCTCAATTGGAAAAACTTTTAGGTACTTACATAAGTCAGGCAGCAGAGTAATAATGCATAAATATTTATTTTTTGTGTGTCGTCCTAAGTAAGGACACCCACCTACCGTATCCGTAGAGCTATATATGTACATATGTATATATACAATCTATAAAGAGTTCTCTGTATTGTTGCTGTACTTCAAAAAATCAATCGACTTGCAATGTTTAGCAGCTTCTTCTGTATCACTCTAAGGCATCATGCCATCTCATTCCTTCTCTCTCTCTCTCTCTCTCTCTCTCTCTCTCTCTCTCTCTCTCTCTCTCTCTCTCTCTCTCTCTCTCTCTATCTGCAACACCCGGCATCACGTTCAGCAACAGCTATATTTGCCTCACACTAAGTAGTATCTTGCGAAATTAAGAAATACCTCCTCCACTAATCCTGCCAACAAGAAGCTCCTCTGTCCTGTCATACACTCGTGATTGGAAAAAAAGAAAAAATAAAAACATAATATTTTAAGAAGCTTTTTTTACAAATACAAACTAAAAAGAAATCATTTTCAATAAATCCATTAATAAATAAAATAATAGATTAACGGATATAGAAGACAAAGTGGCAAGAGATACTAAACAACTCATGTTATTCGAAGCCTTGACATTTTAAAAATGAAATATTTATTATTTATGATGCTTTCACACGCACTCTCTCTCTCTCTTTCAGTGCTTCCCCAAAGAGGATACGCCCGAACACAAATCAGCCTGTTGTCACATCAATGCCAACGACTTTGAAATCACAACGCTGCCAATGCCGCCCGAGCCGCCCGCCTCACGGCCACCGGCCAACAATGGTGGTGCAGGTGGTGGTGGCAGTGGTGCGGGTGGTGGGGGCAGTGGTGGCGCGGCCGGCTCTGGCGCCGGCGGTGGCATTGGCAGCGCCATTGGCGGCTCTGTTCTGGGCATTTGCGCACGCTCCAGGGCCAACAGCTTGAGTCGCAGCGCCTCGCAGTACATTCGCGGCACTTTGGGCGGCGGCGGCCACGCCCATCAGCTGGCCGGCGATGGCTATGCCACAGTGCGGCCGGACATTGAGGGTCTCTCGGAGAAGTACTGGGGCGAGATTCTGGAGCGGACCGTCAGCTCGGGCAATTTGCATGCCATGCAGAAGAGTTTCCCGCACTTCCCCTACCATCAGCACGGCGGCGTGGGCGTGGGCGTGGGCGTGCACGGGCATGTGCATCAGGTGCATCAGCCGCAACAGCATCAGACCACCTCGTTCACCAAACACAGCGATCTGCATTTGAATATGTCCGGCAGCACGGCCGCACAGGAAGCCACCGCCGCCGAGCTGAGCAAGTTCTCCACATCCGAGCCGAAGCTCTGCGAGCATCTATTCCACGATGCCAACTGCGCCAAGAGCAAACTGGCGCTCGGCACTGCCCCAGACGAGGCCGGCTCCGCATCCGTCTCCACCGTGGCCGCCAAGCTGGCAGCAGGGCGCAGCATTCCGGACATTTAGTACGCAGAGGACGTCATCCTCGCCAACAGCCAGCTGGCGCGGCAGGCCAAGTGCGCACACCATCCACTGCATCAGCAGGGGCAATCCCGCGCCCTGCTCCACACGCCGCACGGCGCCCATCACACGGGCAGCCTGCGCCTCAGTCGCGTCCGCGTCGCCTGTCACAGCCCACCGCCCTCGATGGCTCTGGGCGGCGAGTCAATGGCCGAGTTTCGCAAATAGAGCTCTAGGATTAGGATTATGATTCGTCTGCTGGGTCTAACCGTGAAGTAGTTATATGTATATCTATATAAATGTCGGTGTGTATGTGTGTGCGTCTGTGTGTCTAAATATTGTGCATGTCTTCTAGCTTTAAGTCAAACTTGAAAAGTTGTAGCTCTCTCTCTCTCTATCTCTTTCTCTCCCTCTAAATCAACAAATTAGTTAACAATACTGAGTTCACATTTCTGGCAAGGCTGAAGCTGGCTTGGCCTATGGGCCACACATTAAAATGGATTTTTAGCATACTTTCGTATATTTTAGTATTTTTTGTATTTTTGGTATTTTTGGTGCTTTTGGTATTTTTGTATAATCTTGTATGTTTCTCTTATTTTCGGTCAAATTTATTTCTTCACATACTTCAATATATTTTTAGTACATTGGTGGTAATTATTCCATGTTTCTTGCATTATTATTATTTTTATTGGTCAATTTTAATTTTCGGCATACATCCGCATATTTTTAGTATTTTTTGGTATTTTCAGTATTTTTTGGTATCTTTGGTATATCTTGTATGTTTCTCATGTTTTCGGTAACATTGATTTTTTTGACAGACTTCAATATCTTTTTAGTATATCTGTGGTATATTCTTGCGAGTTTCTTGTATTATTGGTAAATTTTAATTTTTGACATACTTCCGCATATTTTTAGTATTTGTTGATATTGTTAGTATTTTTTTTTTGGTATATTTGGTATTTATGGTATATCTTGAATGTTTCTCATGTTTTCGGTAACATTGATTTTTTTGACAGACTTCAATATCTTTTTAGTATATCTGTGGTATATTCTTGCGAGTTTCTTGTATTATTGGTAAATTTTAATTTTTGACATACTTCCGCATATTTTTAGTATTTGTTGATATTGTTAGTATTTTTTTTTTGGTATATTTGGTATTTATGGTATATCTTGAATGTTTCTCATGTTTTCGGTAACATTGATTTTTTTGACAGACTTCAATATCTTTTTAGTATATCTGTGGTATATTCTTGCGAGTTTCTTGTATTATTGGTAAATTTTAATTTTTGACATACTTCCGCATATTTTTAGTATTTGTTGATATTGTTAGTATTTTTTTTTTGGTATATTTGGTATTTATGGTATATCTTGAATGTTTCTCATGTTTTCGGTAACATTGATTTTTTTGACAGACTTCAATATCTTTTTAGTATATCTGTGGCATATCCTTGCGAGTTTCTTTTATTATTGGTAATTTTAATTGTTGACATACTTCCGCATATTTTCAGTATTTTTGGTGTTTTTTGGTATTTTTTGTATATTCTTGTATGTTTATCTTATTCTCGGTACAGTTTATTTCTTGACATACTTCAATATATTTTTAGTATATTTGTGGTATATTCTTGCATGTTTCCTGTATTATTGATAAATTTTAATTTTTGGCATACTTCCGCATATTTTCAGTATTTTTTGGTATTTTTAGTATTTTTTTTTGTATTTTCGGTATATTCTTGTATGTTTCTCTTGTTTTCGGTAAAATTGATTTTTTCATAGACTTCATATATATATTATTCATCGTATATATGTAGTATATTCTCGAAATTTTCTCGTATTAAAAGTAAATTTTATTTTTGGCATACTTCAGTAAATTTTTGGTATTTTTTTGGTATTTTTTGGTATTTTTTGTGGTGTTGTTGTATATTCTTTGTTTTTCGAATATTTGGTACATTTTATTGACATACTTTTTGTTGATTATTATTTATAATGTTTTTCATGTTTTCTGATCATTTCGACATACTTCGCTTCTTATTTTCATATACCAAAATATAAATTCAAAAAATGTTCTTTGCAATTAGACTTGTTTCCAAAAACTTTAGCTATAAGTGAATACGAAAATATAGATAAAAATTAAATTAAGCCAATCGGAAAATATATTACAAACTATTTAAGTTTTTAAGATCCAACTCGAAATATAAAAAAAAAAAAAGCAAAAGCAATTAATGCTACAAGTTTCAGCATAATAAGTGTTCATTTGATGTATGTTTGTGATACATTTTGGCTAAGATAAATCGGAAAGTAAATTATATAAATGTGTCATATATATGTATATGTGTGCGTATTGTCTAAATAACAAATTCAATAAAAAAGTAAGAAATATATATATAAATATATATCTATAGCATTGGTAGATATATTTGCAATGCAAGCTCACTTAACACCTCCATTTGGTTTGTTCGTCAACTCAAATTGTAGCTATGTAAGCAATTGTATTTAATACTGTCCAGATGAAGCGAATCTATTGTATAAATATGCAAGTAAGTTGTATAAAGAAATTTAAGAAAATAATTGTAAACTTTTCTTACTAGAGATGGTAGACTTCCCTTTAAAATAACACGAGTATAAACTATTCCGATTCAAATTTCCCCTCCTATAAAATCATTTTCATTAAAAGACTCCAGAGTATAGATCTCGTCTTCTCTTCAGACAACAATCAATGAAAACCCAAATCAAATCCTAACTTTGTGATTGTCATGAATTTAAGCGAGTTGATGATGCCGTATGAACTCATCCGTTGTGTAGCTAAAAACAACAATAGTTAAATGCAAATCTAAGACAATTTTAGTTTAGCCAACAAAATATTTGAAAAATACACAAACAAAATGCATGTAATAACGAGATAAATCTATTAACAAAAAAATAAAAATAAGAAACACAAAACAAAAACTATTTGCCATAATGTGAATTGTGAAATGGATTTAAATGGAATGCAATAAAGTTTAAATAAATAAAACTAAAAGARTCTATATTTATTATTGGGCAAATTAAAATACAATTTCATTGGTACATATTTGATACGAATTTACATTTTGCAAATATA